GGATCCGCAAGCTTTAAATGCGCGCGTTCCACCTCCAGGCCCGTGGAACTGAGGGTCCGTGTCCAGTGGAAGGCAGCTCAAGGAAACGCCCTCAAGATTATTATCCAGGTATTTCCCGCGGTCACCAGCAAGCGCGTCCCACGCAAGCCCACGCGCGCGCTCGCTCAACTCATCCTGAAGTTTGGAAACTGCCCCCTTCCCTGCGGGGCTGCCCACGCCTTTCTTCGCCTCACGCAGCCTTGAAATAAGTTTGGAGGCGACGGGGTCCTCGCGAAGCGGCAGACAATCCAGTGGAATGTCGTACGGCTTCCTTTCGATTCCGTCAAGGTCCCTTTCCTTCACATCTCGAGCAAGCTCATGGGACCTCTTTTTCATGGCATCCTCGCACTCCTTGATGCGATCAGCATTTTTCCGTGGCTCATCCGCCTTGAGTGCCGCTCGCTCATGACGCAACTCCTCAAACTTCTCGTCACCCGCCAGCGGCACGTACTCCAGCGGCACGCCCTCAGGCACCTTGTCAAGGAACCAAAGATCGCCATCCAAAAATTCCTTCGCAATCTCACGGATACGGTTGTCCATTTCCTCCATGTGATTCCGAAGTACATTCTTCGGGCCCTCCTTCTTTAGACGACGAAGCTCCGGCACCAAGGAAACAAACTCTCGGTCGTTGTGGGGCTTCAGTTGCTCCGTAGCAACTCCCTCGTACTGGCTGGCAAAGCCTTTGAGGTCTTCCGCAAGAACACCCCTCGCAAGCTTGGCTGCCATCTCATTTAACTGCAACTCCAATTCTGCCACCCTTGCAGCATTACGCTGTGGATCTTGCGCCTTGAGCTTCGCACGCTCCACCTCCATCAAGGCAAATACATCGTCATTTGTTAACGGGAGCTCCTCAAGCGGTACGCCCTCTGGCGCGGCGTCCAGATAACCGCGATCACCCTCTAACAGCGCATCAGCAAGCTCGTACGCTCGGTTGTTCATCTTTTCCTCCAAGTTTCGAATTTGCTCAGCATTTGCCTCAGGATCCTTTTTCAGCTCACGCAACCACGGAACCATTGACGCAAAGACCCCGTCTTCCGTCAACTTTAGCAGTGACAAGGGAATACCCTCCGGCGCAGCATCCACTCCAGCAAGGTCTTCCGCAAGTTGGTTCTTCGCCAGCTCATGCGCCCGAGCGTTCATTTCTTCCTCGAGGTCCCTAATCTTCTTCGCGTTACGCCGGGGATCACTCAGCTTAAGCTTCACACGTGCTGTCTCCATCGCATGGAATTCGGCATCTGAGTCCAGCGGCAGAATCTCCAGAGGAACACCCGCAGGGGCTTGATCCAAGAAACCACGGTCAAGCTGTGCTGCCGCCAAATCGTCTGCACGATCATTCATCGCACAGAGGACCGCCTCGATGGCATCCGCGTTCTCCTCGGGGTCCCTTTTCAGAGCCCGAAGGTCATCCACCAACGCCGAAAACGTCGGGTCGCTGTGAGGCAGAAGCAATTCAAGGGGTATATCACGAGGCAGCATGTCAACACCAGTCAGGTCCTCACGCAGCTGATCAGCAGCAAGTTCATGACAACGATCGGCCATTGCGTTTTCCAGGTCTAATATCAGTTTCCCATTGCGCCGGGGATCCTGCGCCTTTAGCTTCGCACGCTCGGCCTCCAGTTTGCGGAACTTGGGATCCGTGTCCAGCGGAAGGATGTCCAAGGGAACACCTTGGGGATTCTTGTCAAGAAATGCACGGTCATTTAGCTTCATTTCCGCTGCTATAACGTGAGCAAGTGCGTTCATTTCGTCCTTCAGCTGTGCCACTCTGGGGTCCTCGTCAGACTGATTAGGCATCTTTCGCAGCTGGTCCACAAGGAAGGCAAATTCACGGTTACTGTGAGGATCAAGGGCACTCAGTGGAATACCCTCGGGTTCTCTGTCAAGACCTTCCAATTCCTGACGCTTTCGGTCTTCTGCAAGCTGTGACGCGCGCTCGTTCAGCTTTTTCTCCAAATCTGCAATCCTTGCTGAATTTCGACGTGGATCTTTCTCTTTCAATATCGCCCGCTGGACCTCCAATGTGTGGAATCCTGGATCGGAAGTAAGGGGCAACAACTCCAGTGGAACACCAGAAGGATTTTCCTCTAGATATCTGCGGTCACGCTCCAGATGAGCCGCCGCCATTTCAAGCAAGCGAGCATTCATATGGCGTTGCAGATTATCCTTCTCTTCACTTGTGGCGCCTGGATGCTTATTTAATTCCCAAAGATTTGAAAGCAGATCCCCAAGCTCTAGATCATCGTGCGGGTGAAGCAAAGCAATTGGCAACCCAAGCGGTACTTGATCAAGAGACTTTAAAGCATCGTTCTTTTCTTCCGTTGCCAAGTCATTGACGCGATCGTTAAGCTGAGCCTCCAAATCACGAATCCTGCCCGCGTTTCGCCGGAGGTCCTGCGCCTTTAGCTTCGCACGCTCGGCCTCCAGTTTGCGGAACTTGGGATCCGTTTTCAGCGGAAGGATGTCCAATGGAACACCTTGGGGATTTTTGTCAAGAAATACACGGTCCGCTCTTAACTTTTCCTGCGCTACCTCATGGACACGGTCATTCATCTGATCCCGCATGTCTTCAATAGCCTCTATGTTCCTCTTTGGATCCTTCTTTAGCTTACGAATCTCGTCCACCATGGCAACAAAGGCATCATCTTCGTGTAGCATCAGGTGACTTAGCGGGACGCCCTCGGGTTCTCTGTCAAGACCGGAGAGGTCTTCCGCCTTCTGCTCCTCGGCAAGTACCCTTAGACGTTCATTTAGTTTCTCTTCAAGATCCCTGATCTTACGGGCATCGCGGAGCGCGTCCGTTGCCCTGAGCTTCGCGCGCTGCACCTCCAACGCTTTAAATGTTGGGTCACTACCAATTGGCAGCGCAGAAAGCGGCACACCGCACAAATCGGAGACCAAGTAGCCGCGATCTTCCTCCAGCATCCCCTTCGCAACCTCATGCGCTCGGTTGTTCAGGTCAAACTCAATATTTTTGATGGTTTCCTTGTTCGCGTCCGGATCCCTTCGAAGGTACCGAAGCTCCTCCTCCATCCTTGCAAACTCTTCATCGGCTCCAAGTCCTAGCAAAGATAAAGGAATACCCTCGGGCTCGGGATCACAAAACGCCTTGCGAGAATCATTGGCTAGCTCTGCTGCACGCCGATTCATCGCATCCTCTAGCTCCTTCAGCCGTGCTAAAGCCCTGCCCCGGCTGATTGGGGAGCTCCGAAGTGCACGAGTCTCAGTCTCTAACGCAGTAAATTCCTCATCGTTGTTTAACGGAAGCGCCGATAGCGGAACACCCTCGGGGTACTGATCCAAGACACTGCGCTCCCTGTCATGCATTTCTTGTGCCAGCTCACGCGCTCGCTCATTCAGCTGATCAATAATCTCATCCCTTTTGCCCCTGTTGCCAGGGTCAGCGCCAAGCTCGCGATAGCCGTCCTCCAGAGCGTGAAAGCGTTCGTCATCGTTAAGCGGAAGACACCCCAAAGGAATTCCCAACGGACGCGGATCAAGTGGATTTCGAAGCTCCTGCTTAAGCTCCTTCGCAATAGCAGACGCTCGGTCCAGCAGTTGACCCTCAAGGTCCTCAACGGCCTTCGCGTTCCTCAGCGGATCGCGGTTCTTCAGAGCCGCGCGCTTCGTCTCCAAACGTGTAAACCCAGGATCATCATCAAGAGACAAATGACGCACTCGCACACCTTCCACCTCATCGCCCAGAAACATTCGGTCCTGACGAACAGCATCGGCAGCCATTTCCTCAGCACGCTTGTTCAGCGCCGCCTCCACCTTGGCGATCTGAGAGGCGTTTCCCTTTCGATCATGACAAAAGTATGCACGCTCTGCCTCTAGACGGCCAAACTCCTTGTCCCCATCAAGTGGAAGTTCGGAAAGAGGAAGCCCATGAGCAATAACAGCAAGGTAGTTTGGACGCTCCGTTGCATTCATCTTCTTGGCTAGCTCATGAACGCGGTCATTCAACATCTGCTCCAAATCAGCAACACGATCTTCATCCGCGTAAGGATTTTTTTTCAACTCGCGGCGCTGTCTTTCAAGTCCGAGAAAGGTTGAGTCCGTACTTAATGGAAGCTCCGACAGGTAACGGCCCTCTGGTTCTGAATCGAGAAATTCGCGTTCCTTCTGTGCCTTCTCCTGGGCCATCTGAAGTACCAGGGCATTTAGTCTTTTCATTGCATCGTTGATTAGTTTTGCGTTTTTACTTGACTCCTTCATCAATTCAAAAAGCTTTCTCTCTTGTCTGTCAAATTCTTCATTGCTGTCAAGGGGGAGCTCTTCAAGAGGAATACCAAGTGGATTTTGCTCCAGATTCATACGATTGTCAGCCTTTACTTTTGCAGCCATATCCTCTGCACGCTTCCTCATTGCATCTGCCAAGTTTCGCGCCTTGAAATTATCTTCACCGTCACCCACAGACTTGAGATATTCGACCTCGAGGTCTCCAAAAGGCATGTCGTCATCCAACGACAAAACATCCAAGGGAACACCCTTAGGAGCCTGTTCCAGCACCGACTGACGCCCGTTAAGCTTCATTTCCCTCGCCAGCTCATTTGCGCGATTATTCATTTCTTCCTCGATACTCTTTATTTTTCCTTTGTTCCTCCGCAGATTCTCTGCCTTAAGAGCCAAACGTTCTACTTCCTTTTCGTGAAATGCGGCATCCTCGTCAAGAGGTAAATATTTGAGTGGAATACCCCCCGGTTCAGGATTCATAAAAGAACGCTCTTCCTGTAATTTCTCCTGTGCAAGTTCTTCTGCACGAAGATTAAGTGCATCCTCCAAATCCATAATGGAAGCAGCATGCTTTTTTTGACTTCTCATCAGTTGTGCTCGATCTGCTTCAAGCTTGGAAAACTCCTCATCAGTGTCCAGTGGTAAATCATCAATAGGTACACCCCTTGGTGTAGAATCAAGATAATCTTTTCGTTCAGAGGCATTCAATGCCTTTGCAACCTGGTGCGCTCGTTCATTCATAAGTTCTTCAAGATCGGCAATTTTCTGAGCATTCTTTTTTATATCCTTTTTCAACCGATAGCGCTCCTTCTCAAAGCCATGAAACTCCTTATCTTTTCTAAGAGAAAGATCTTGCAATAAACGCCCCTCAGGTTCGGGATCAAGAAAGTCACGATCCTTTTCCAGTTCATCCGCAGCAATTTCTTTCGCCAGATCACACATTTCACGTTCGAGGGAGACAATGGCCGATCTATTCTTTACCAAATCCTTACGAAGCACTCTCAGTTGAGCCTCCATTGCCAAAAACTCCTCATTTTTATCAAGTGGTAGATCATCAAGAGGAATGCCCAATGGCTCCGGATCCAGGAAGGCACGCTCATTCGCCAACACATTCGCCGCAAGCTCCACGGCCCTCTCGTTCATGGCGTCCTCCAGGTTGCTGATTGCAGTCGCATTCCTGACGGGTTCCTCGCGCAGCAGAAGCCTCTGAATCTCCATGTCACGAAACGGACCATCGTTGTTGATGGGAACATCATCAATAGGAACACCATTGGGCTTCGGATTTAGAAACTTCTCCCGCTCAACCGCCTTCAGTTCGTCAGCAAGCACCACGGCACGATCATTGAGATCATCCTCCACGTCCCGAATCGACTTTGCATTCCGTTGTGGGTACTTCTTCAGTTGTGCACGCTTCGCCTCGAGTGCTTGAAACGGAGCATCCCTGTCAACGGGAAGGAGAGACAGCGGAACACCAGCCGGTGCTGGGTCCAGGTACCCACGATCACCTGCCAATTGCCTCCTTGCGATCTCCTCCGTGCGCGCGTTCAACGCCGCCTCCACCTCTTCAAGAGCCGCCTTCCGCCTCGGGTCGCGCCTCAACTGCTGGCGTTTCGCCTCCAACTCACGGAACTCCTGATCCAAGTCCAGTGGCAGGTCTTCGAGAAGGACGCCGCACGGAGATGCGCCCAAATAGTCAAGACGCTCCTTTGCATTCAGTGCGCGGGCAATCTCATGGGCAACATCGTTCATCTCCTCCTCCAGAGCCTTCACTTTACTCGGGTCCTCGTCTCTGCGCAGCAGCTGGCGTCTTTTTGTGTCCATCGCCACGAACGACTTGTCTTCGTCCAGCGGCAACTCCCCCACGAGACGACCCTCCGGCTCGGGGTCGAGAAACGCGCGATCCAATGCAGCCTTCTTGCGAGCAATGTCACGCACTAATTTGGAAATCTCATCCTCCGTCGCCTTTATCGCCGCCGCGTTCTTCTTCGGTTCCTTCCTCAGCTCACGCAGTTGCGCCTCGCCACGCACAACCGCGTCATCAAAACCCAACCCAAGCTCCTCCAAGGAAATCCCAAAAGGCTCGGGATCCTGGAAAGCCCGCTCCTTGCGAAGCTGCAAACGTGCCAACTCCTGCGCACGGTCATTCAATGCATTTTCCAGCTCCTTTACTTTTGTCACATTTGCGCGCGGGTCCTCGTGGCGAAGGCGTAGACGTTCCACCTCCATCGTATGAAACGGCTCGTCTAAATCCAACGACAGTTCAGACACCGGCACACCCTCGGGCTGTGGATCCAAAAAGATGTTCCGCTCATTTTCCTTTAGCTCCCTGGCAAGCACGTTTGTTCGGTCAAGCAAAGCATTTTCTAGAGCAACTATTGCCTTGGCATCCTTCCGGGGTTTGTGATTTAGGGCACGAAGCTCTCGCTCCAATTCCTGAAGGGCCTCATTTTCATTTAATGAAAGCAACTCAAGTGGAACACCCTCGGGCTCTGGATCAAGGAAAGTGCGCTCTTTGGCACGCAACTGCTTAGCCAATACATGAGCACGTTGATCCATCTCCTCCTCAAGGGCACTGATCTTGCTCGCATTCGCAACAGGATTACTCTTCAGCTTCATGCGCTCACGCGCAGATGCGGCAAATGCAGTATCCCCCATAAGAAGCATGTCCTGAATTGGGATGCCCTCCGGTGCTGGGTCAAGAAATGAAATGTCGGGCTCTTTGGCTTTCTCAGCAATGGCATCCGCCTTTTTCTGGAGTACCTCTTCGACAAATTGCACCTTGGTCGCATTTCGTGGATCCTTCTTCAGTCCATACCGATTGCGTTCGTTATCCATGTAGTCAACATTGGAGTCAAGAATGGGATTCAACAAATCAAGGTCGCGCCCAGGGAGGTACTTTGCTCGATCCTTTCCGAGAATTTCTTTGCCAGGATGTGTGCATGATCGTTTATCTGATTCTCAACGGCACTGATCTCGTCCGC